TGATTTCGAGTTACGTGTAAATTCTCTGAACTGTGTCTCTGTTCCTAGCAAAATGACATTACTTCCTTTGTGGGCACTGCTGCCAATTCTTGAGCCACGGTGTAAGGAAACCTGTTTCAACAAGATTTTTGTCAGATTTAATAAGCATAAGTGTGTGTAATAACAAAAGAAACCATCATTAGGAGTCAGTTTCCTCATCTCCTGATGTCTTTATCCCTAATATTAAGCCCATCATTATCAGCACTTTTAAGGCCTTGTCTAGGGCGCTGTCAAAAATTTCCTCAACTATACCTGTTTGTCTCACCACTGGGATATCTGATCTCTGCTATGGTATTGTGGACCTGCTGACATGTTAGTTTGTAATCTTTCTTTGGCCAAATTATATTCCCATTTTCTCTTTTTCACTATCTCGTGAACTTATCAAGGAAGGTACTTTCTACTTTACGGCTTCTCAATTATATACCTAAGGGTTTTTCTTAGATTTTTGTCTAACTTTAAAAAAATCGTTAAATGATAAAACAGTAAAAATATTATTGAAACTATCTAGTTATGAAAAAAACGACTGAATTATAGAACAAGTGATAGAAATCTCCTAGCCTATTCTAAAATATATGCAAAGCAATTGTGAAGTTAATTTAATGAAATTATTTTTTGAGGGAACTTAAAATAACTTTTATTTTTATTACAAAGTCAGCGAGCCATTTCATACAGGGGCAAAATATAGAAAAGATCAGTAAAAGAAACAACCAAAAACCAAGTATAAATCTACCACTCATAAAAAACTGTGACATTCTGCTAGTATTATATACATATTCATCTGAGGGAATGTGTGTTTATGTCTTGTCCTGGGAATTGGCTAGAAAACTTTTTTAAAGCGAGAGTTGAGGAACTGGGTGGAGTATTTGAATGTTTTAATTAAGTAAGTGAGTAAGAAAGGATGAGTAATTAGCTTGAGATTGTTTATTCTATTAGATATATTACACAGCTGCTGTGCAAACAATTGCCAAAACATGAAAGTCAGAACATAGTATTCCATAGTAGTTTTCATAATGGCACTGTATTACCTAAAGATTAGTAATCTGACATTATACAGAACTGACTGGAACCAGAATGTGGCATCAACAGGTAGTGTATACTTCCTGTGAAACTACTCTTTGACATTTTCAACAGTGATTATCCGGGGAGGCAAACTAGAGAGGGTGCATTAGACCCTTCAATTCCAGATTTTGATTCTTTAGTGACTGCCTCTGTCTTAGGCAAATTTGAAATTTCTTTCAAAGAAAAATTGATGAAAAGAATTTTCACAGATGTATTGATATAACAGTAAAACTTTTTGAATATTTTGTAAAAGTGCAATGTAAAATTATTACTAAACAGTAAAACCCAGGTTTTGACAGAGATTATTTACATTTATTAGAAAAAAACATTTTGGATATCATGAGATATTTAGAAAACTTAGAGTAGGATTTCACAAGCAATGCTGAAAGTCCTATTCTTAAGAACATTTGTAAAAGGAGACTTTGCATGGATGAAAACTATTGGGAACATGGAATAAAAAGACTGACTTTTTAAAGTAGTCATTTTGTAGTATATTACCAAGGTCTGGAGATAGATCTGGCACATAGCAGGCATGCAATAAATCACTAATTATTGAATGAACCTCTATCTAAAACAAACCCCTCGGATGCATCCTGAGGACTTCTTTTCTTCGTCCATTAGTACTCTAGGGGGTTCTGAGCTATCACAGATCTATATGCAGACTGGAATGAGGGGGAAAGTACAGTACATGGAGTCAGATAAGAGTTCAAGTTGTGATTCTGTTCACTAATTAGCTGTGTGACCTTGGCCTTCTATGCCACAATGATCTCATTTGCAAAACATGGATGAAAATACTTCCTCTTTCCCAGTATGACTTTAGACTCGAATGATGACGATTATTAAAACACTCTGAACAGAAAAGTAGTGAACACATATTGGACAGACTTTGCACAAGAGGCCTGACATAGCTTTCCAATTTCATTATAAATTTCCTATGTATATCTCTGTGTTTGTTTATCATATCATCAAATTTCCTCATCTCTAAATTCAAAACAAAAATGCTTACATACTGGGAAAATCTGCCTCCTCCCCCAGACATTCTGATCATTACCTTAAATTAACCTCCTGTACCAAATGCATGCCTGCAAATTTTCCTAATATTTTGTCTCCCACAAACTTTACTGTCTATGGTGCTATTTATGCTGTTAATAAGGGGGTCTGGCAACAGAAACTGTTTCTCCCCCCTCTTCAATCTCTTTCAACTTGCCTTTTTTACAACTGCATCTCTCAGACCTCTAAGAGCAGCAATTGTAACATCACAAATAAGAATGAAGGGAATTCTTCATGAACATATAAATGGAAATGAGAGACGATGATGAAATCATGTGTATGTAAAGAAGTCAGTGTTAAGACTGTCTCCCAGCAGGTCTATGCAATGTTGTGTCAATGATATACACATCCATCTCACAGGAAAGGAAGGGAGGCTTAATTCCTGCAAGTCTCTAGAAAGGTCTGTGCCTGGCTCAGGTGTTTCTTGGGAAGAAGTTCCGAGGGCAGGCCCAAAGCTAGGGAATTCCAGACAATCTAGAAGAATAATCTGTGAACAACTAAGAGTAATAAACATGAAATGTGGGGTCATGCATAATACAGAGGAGGTTAACTCAGTGCCCACAGTACAGGGCAGAAAAGAACACAAAAATCACAATGAAGTCATATTCCACTCTGGTTCTCTAACTTCTCTACATGGGGATCTGAGAAGGAGACAGGAAGAACTGCAGAACTGCCTCTGTTCAGTGTTTATAAGAAAACTGCCAAGTCTACATAAAAACAAATCTGTTGCTTCCCAGTTACGCTGAAGCTAGGGGTTTTAACACCCAAAAGAGTTGGGTAAAATTGGGTAAATGGGTCTCACTGACAGGGGAATATACCTGTCTCAATCTCTTCTCTAAAGTCCCATGGCTAATGTTCTTACTTTCTTCCTGGAGACCTTTAGTGAAGCACAAAGTTGTAACACAAAACATCTGTCCTGGCATAAATTCTCCTGTAGCTACTGATGCTTCACGTAGAAGATAGAACAAACAGTCAATTTAGCAGTTTGCTGCTGCTGTTGTTGGGGTTTCTGTTTGCTGTTTAAAAATGTATTTATTAATATACCTTAATCACACACCTTAATATACCTTTATTAATATACCTTAATCATACATAGCAAGACCTGACTGAGGGAAACAGTCTATGATATTTTCATTAAGAAAAACAGATAAGTCTGGAAAGTGTCCTTAGTTGAAAATAACCAGATTCTTCCCCCCGCCCATGGAGTTCTTCAACACACTTGGCTTGATGTACTACAAATAATAAAAGGCAAATGAGTGCAAGAGATTTGAGAGCCTTAAACAGACAAACTCCTTGCCTTTTTAATTCTGTATTTTCAGCACCCATAGTAAATGCTTAATAAGTACATTTTTGAATAATATAACCTGTGTGCATTTAGACAGTGAAACATGAATACAATAATAAAATAATTTGCATTATACATGATGCATGAATACACACACAAATGCACATGTGCGTACACATATACAGACCTACACGTATAGAGATGTGTGTGTGTGTGTGTGTGTAATTTGCTTCCAACGTCTGAACATTCCAAGAACATTTCTTCCTTCCAAGTAGGAAGAAATAGATCCTTGAGATAGAAAACCAAAGTCCTTAGGTAGACCAACTTTAAAGATCTTGAGATATGTTTCTTAGAGTGATATCCTGGGACCTTTATGTAGATAATACTAAAAATTCTGAACACAGGACGTGATCTCTGAAGACTGGCTTTTTACACTTATATATGCCAAGATTACTTTATGCTGTGGAATTTACTACCTCCTGAGTGTTCCAAATGCAGAGGAACTAGGGAAACACCTCTGGTTATTTCTTTTTAGTGCAAAGCCCTAGTAGACAGAATCTTTGATGTAGAAAAACCTTGCCGTCCTCTGGGTTGACTGAGACCACTGTTGTAACTTTCCTCCACTCCAGGCCAGTGGAAAATGCTGTTGCTTTGTGGTTAGTTTCTTCAAAGGATTTAGGAAGGAATTATTTCCTCCCACCAGTTCATTGTACAAATAAACTGAGGTTCACAGAGGCCAAGTGACTTGCCCCAGAACTCATGGCCAGTAAATAAGTTTTTCCGTTTAAGTACATCCGGAATAAGAAGGAGTCTCAGTCCCTGTATTAGTCTCATTGTCCCACTCTTAAGGTAATGTTTACCAGCGACACAGAAAACAATTGCAGATTGAGGACTGAGGGGGGTAAGGGTAGGAAGTGGTCATTAGCAAATCCCTGGGCCCGGGGATCACCTGCTCGCTGGGACCAAAAGAGTGAAACAAGCTATTCCTAAGGACGAGTGGGCCATTGTTTTCAGAACCAGCTGTGGAGAATCAGCTTAACAGTGGCCTTGGAACAGCTGCGGCTGCGGCACCAAGGGGCGGGGGCGGTAGTGGTGGAAGAATGAGCTAGGAAGGATCCTTGGCAGAGACCCGGCCTCGCCACCCCTTGGCAAACCAGGAAGTATTTCTGCTTAAGTGCAAAGGACCGAGCCACCTTTTGAACCGAAAGTGTGAACGGCACACAGCAGGCCCCAGACGGGCTTGGCGACTGCAAACCCTCGGTGGGCAGGCTGCCCGGAAGGCTGCGGACTGGCAGCTAAATGGTCAGAGTCTGAAGCACCGAGTCGGCGCTATCGAAAGTACACAGAGCAAAACAGGTTCTGCTATCTTGGCAAACCCTGACCGAGCAAAGTCCCGGGTAAACAAGCCTCCAGACGCGCGCCCCCTGCGCGCTTCCCTACGCCGCATTTCCCACGCGCCCTGCACTCAGCTCCGCAGCCTCAGCCGCCCTCTCTCTGCTGGCCCATCTGCCCATCGCCCCACCTTTCGGCCGGGCCCTCTTTCCCACAGCTGGCGCACCACACTCACCATCTCTTGCCTGAGGAAGTGCATCTTGGTTTCCAGCCTCTCCAGGGCGCTGCAGTGGCTACGACGGGGGGAGCCAGAGGTTGGAGAGGACGAAGAGGAGGACGACAAGGAGGGAGGGAAGCTGCAGCTGCTGTTGCTACTACTGCAGCCGCCGCCGCCGCCGCTCCCCCCGCAGGGGTCCCCGTCCCTTTCCAGGGGAACCGGCTCCTCCCCACGGAGCGAGCGCACTAGGCTCTCGGGTACTTTGCGCCCCAGCTTCAGCTCTATGTCTCTGAGGTCTGGCAGCGGGCTGTCTTCCATGACTTTTCAAGAACGAGGATAATGGTAACGAAACGCAGCGGATGAGAGGCAGCAGCGGCCTCCAAGGCTGCGGCGAAATGAACGGACCCCTCCCGGCGCCTGGGTCTCTATCCTCGGCGGATGGAGTGCACCGTCCGCTCCATAACCGCTTTGCGCTGTTCTCAACCCTGAAATCCGCGCAGGACGAAGCGGGTCGCAGCCGCAGTTTCCTGGGGGCAATGGCTCCTCCGACACTTGCTAAGATTTTAGAGATCGCTTCATCCTCTTCTTTTTTGGCTACCCCTCCGCCAAACTGAGTTAATTGATATTGCAGAGAGGAGAAAATCCAAGTGTTATAAACCAAAAGAAAAGAGGGGGAAATGAAGTCTGTTTTGGCCTTATGGGGGGGAAAATTCACATTATAAAACTGTCCGTTCACATCTCTGCATCATTCACTGATTGCCCATCTGGTACCACGCGACACAAAGTAATGATGTGGCCACACTCCCAGGGTCGTTTCATTTTCCAGCCATATGTCTCCAAGCTTTCGAAATATCCTGGATTGTCAGAAATAATCCCTGGTCAGTGATAGAGGAGGTCGGTCGTGTGCATGGACGCATAAAAGAGATGGTTAGCTTAGCAGGAGTTTAACGGCTTCCTTGTTGTAGCAGAAATGCCCTTCTTTTCATTTAGGCAGTTCGATCCAAGTCATTGTGTTCCTCCGAGCCCTGGAAACTTTAAACTCCGCTGGCAGGTGGACCAAACCAGGGCCAACCCTTGTACCGTATTTCACAGGAAATAAGAGCAGCAGCAATTTTCCCACCCTGTTGCCAGCAGCTGTTTCAGGAACTGCTTTAGTTGGAGGTACCTAATACTGGTGTTAGGAGTTTCAGTTTTCCTGGCGAAATTGCCCGATGATAGCCACAACCTTTAAAACAATTAACAAAAGTTGGAAGAAGAAGATTGACTTTAAAGGTAGTCTTATTCCCCACCGCCTATCTTCCTATACAGCAGAAGTCTAGCCTTAGAAGCCTTTCCTACTTTTACACTAGTGAAAAATGAAACTATTTCACCAAAAGTCCAGTAGGAATGTACAGAATGAATTCTTACCAAATGTTGCAGTAGTTCACTGCAAGGAGTGAAGAATTATATGGCCAGAATAATTTATATGACTGAGTGGATTTTAGAAGATTTTATTTATTTATTTATGAGAGAGAGAGAGAGAGAGCATGAGCACAGGCAGACAGAGTGGTAGGCAGAGGCAGAGGGAGAAGCAGGCGCCCCGCTGAGCAAGAAGCCCGATGTGGGACTCGATCCCAGGACGCTGGGATCATGACCTGAGCCGAAGGCAGCCGCTTAACCAACTGAGCCACCCAGGTGTCCCGACTGAGTGGATTTTAAAGGGGGGAAATTGCTGAGCTACTTTCAATAATGGGAAAAAAAATATTGAACGGAACTAGCTAGTAAAAAAGTTGTCTTTGATAATTTATCAATATATTTTTAACTATTTAGAAGATAGTTAAGGCATAAAATCTATTTCTGAGATACTTCTACCAAGAAAGTTACTAGGTGCTACATGGATTATAGATTTAACTCAACATTGAGTTTGTGTTAATAATCTTCAAATAGAGGATATTGTTTTCAATTCAGTAAACTCTAATTTTGGGGTTCCATTGGGATGTTTGAAAATATGGGCTCCTCTATTTTAGGGACAAATAAATATTTGTGTTCTTGATCTTCGCGGGCTCCTTTTCCATACATCACTCAGTTTTTATACTCAGCACATAGACAGATACATTCAGAGTCTATTCTTAGTATAGCCTCATCTAGGAATTACAAGAATAGGGAACATAGGCCTTCAGAATGAAATAGTTCATGTCCGGGAGAAAATTGTTAAAGTTCCATTATCAACATGCCAGAAATTTGTGTGTTATTTCTCATTCTTAGAACTCAATGAAGAAAACAGTTGTAAATGAAGTGGGCCATTTTAAAGTTGAAAGAACCATTTATAGAATCAAAGGAAAATAATGTTAAATCTCCACTCACTGATAAAACATGCTTTGTCTTAAATTTGGAAAACCACAAACTCATTGGATAAGAATTGCACTGTGGCATAAAATCATGAAAGTCTTGCGTTTCAGTCAAGAGCAGGTTTTGTGTGTGTGTGTGTGTGTATGTGTGTTAAACCCTTATAAAGTTCAGCACAGGGCTGGCTGAGAAGGTGAGCTCACAAACACAAGAGTGTATTGTCAAATTAGTAGTATCAATGTCCAAAAAGGGAATATCTAAATTGCTGTGAGTCACAGACAGTAAAATTAGTACTTGCTACAGAAGATGATGAATCAAAAATATAAGTTTTTTTGTTGTTTTTTGTTTGTCTGTGTTTTGTTTTGTTTTGTTTTTCATTTTGGATATCTACAGAGAAAACTCCTCGTAAAATAAAAATACAGCCCAAATGCGTTAGAGTCAGCTTACAGGGCTTCGTTAGATTCAAGATAACCTAGGATGCCCTTAAGGATCTGGGTGGTCAGCTTTTTGTTCTCGGTAGCTCTAAGACAGGAGAGTGAGAGGAAAATTGAAAACATTAATTTGGAAAGTTAGAGCCAGATACTGGAGAAACTAGAAGAACTGAAACTTTGGAAAGGACTGACAAACTATGACGGTCAGCAAGATCCAGTTCACAGATAGATAAAAACCCTCAAAGATGAAGAACAGGGCCAGAATCTGATAACTCACAAAGGTAAGCTAGAGTTTTCTCCTGGTTTATGAAACATAGTTTAAGAAACATGACATTTCTTTCCATAGTTTCCCTGTTTTTTTATTCTTGCTTACAAAATAAATCTGGCCTCAATAAGAAAAAGACCTGTATGTAAAGGTAACACTTTGTGCTAGTGCAATATAAAACAAATGCAAAAATTTTAAGAAAAGCTGTTATGCTGAGCCTTTCAAAATTTCTCAATGGCTTATGTCATTTTAAAGTAGAGACATTTGGGGACACCTGTGTGGCTCTGTTGGTTAAGCTTCTGCCTTCGACTCAGGTCAGGATCTCAGGGTCTTGGTATTGAGCCTGCCCACCTCCCCACCCCCCTGCCTTCTCTCTCTCCCTCAAATAAATAAATTAATTAAATATTTTTAACAAGTAGAGACATTTTGAATGCCAAAATGTTAAATTTCTTATAGATTGTCTCAAATGTGTTATTAATGCTTTATATGGTCTTGTCTCAGGACATTCCTTACCCAAAATGTTAAAAAAAAATAAGAGTCTTATTTTGTTTTTTTTAGCTTTGGGTCCTGAGAATATTTCTCTTATCCTTAAAAAAAAAAAAAGTGTGAGAGGTTTAACCACTTGCTAACCTTGTATGTTAGCCTTTTATGTTAATTACACATCTTGATTTGGGAAATTTGCTGTCAAGAACTTGCAGTAGTGGGTCTAAGATGGGGGTCTGGGGAGAGGGTGAGGTCATCACAAATAAGAAAGAGGAAGAACAGAGATAAATAGGGAAAAAATCTTCTGGATAACCTTTTCCTATTTCCCCAGGTCTCATTCTTAACAGCATTTGCTCCCTGCTTCTACCCTTCTTGTCCATCTCCAATCACCTCCTGTTTCCCCAAGCCTAACATACTGAAAAGTAAAATTATAAAAATAGTTCTTATATTCTTATATTATTTGCTTGTGCTATACATTTTTAGATCTAGACGACTTTATTACTGTGAACTCGATTTGCCCTTTATTTTTCTACTTAGAATGCCTAAGAGATCTAAGAATGAGTGTTAAAAGATGGAGAGTAAGAGACTGATTTTCCTTCCCAGCTGGATTGTGTTCACAGAAAAGGAAAGAGAGCCTCTTACTTATCATTACAAAACAAAACAAAACAAGAAAGAAACACAGTGGCTAATTATACAGGAACATTGCTGGACTCAGGTGACAGGTTTGAAAGGAATGCTTCAGCCGCAGAAACAGAGCAGTCTGGTGCACGACTTCACACAGTCCACCCTTCCAGCGCTTCCTGGTATGAGACACAGTACTTTCAGCAAAAGTAGACTTAGCAAGACTCTGTATGGTGTGAGTCATGCCACTCCTTAATCTGCTGCTGGCATTGTGGTTAAAAGAAGAAAGGGCTTCCACCTTCTCTCTGGCCCGGATTGAAAGTTCGCAGCATTCCCAAGTCCGACTGGCAGAGGGTTCAAGCGCGAGGGCAGAGTCTCACCTGAGACTCCACTTCCCACAGTGCAGAATAATAGCGAGCCGCTCACAGCCTCAAATTATGCTTAAGAATTTGAGGAAGTAACTATTTCATGGCTATCCGATTCTTTGAATTTGTGTTTTAAATGTGTAGAGCTGCTGTTCCTATAAATGTTCGTGTTCAGCTGATGAACCGCTTGGAAAGGAAGCTGTCATCACAAAACTAAAGAATGTTGATCCTGTCCATACAGAGTGGAATTATAGATCTGCTAAAGCTGTGAAGACTTTACCCTGCTTGTTTAGAATCATTTGATTCACCTATAATTTTGTAGTGGGGTTGGGTCTGTTTTACTAAATAAAATCATCTAGTTTGTTACCAACCTGAGCAACTTTTACATGGGTATCCTGTGTATACTGCCCTATCTATCATCTTTCATCTATCTATCTATCTATCATCTATCTATCACCCATCTATCTATCTATCTATCATCAATCCATCTATCATCTAAATGTCTCTCCCTGAGGAGCACAGATACTTTAACTACTACTCTGATTGGAATCTAATTAATATTTATAATCACGGCTAAACACTTCCCTGGGAGATTTAGTAGACAATACTAAAAGTAGGTCACCAGCATCTAAGTCTGCCTTATCCCCTCCACAATCCCTGTCAAATCTCTCTGTCTTCATTATTTGTAATAGAGTCCTTTATTTGCTTTATCGCTTTTCTGAATTCCTATCGAAAGGTGCAGAGCAGGGCCCAGAAAAACTCTTTTAGGTGAAGCCAACCTTGCTCAGTGCTCCTGTAAGCCATTCCAGTTTGGCTTATCGAATGGACTTACAGGTTATTTCAGGGGTGTGCTGGTGACTGCAACTGGCTCTTGAAAACATAAAAGTAACTTATCTGTAGCTTTTGATGGTTTTCCTGGTGTAAATTATCCCACTATGCCTGCTCTCAAGCTTCCAGTATGAGTTGGGAAAGGATAGACACTAGTATGACATTATCATAGTATTTCCACCATATAGATACACTAGACATAAGTAGCCTCAAGAGCACAGAGTGCAGTAAAATGTAGTCAAATAATTAGGAAGTGATGCATTTTGACGATTTATGGCCTTTGTTTTAGCATAAGTTACCTAATTTAAAATGTGTACAGTGTAATTTTTAAAATAATGACTGTGTCTAGCAAGCAACTTGCAAAATTCCTAAAAATTAAACAATCTGCTCCTGCAAGCTGGTAGGGGATGCTTCCAGTGCATGTCTGGTTCACAAAATCCTGGAGGATGATCATTAATTACAGTGAAGAAAGGAAACACAAAATTCAAAGTCAGAAAAAGCAGTGCAGTTTAGAGTCTACAGGTTGGGCAAAGTGATGCCTGGGGAAATGAGTTCCAAATTCGTAGGCAGGAAGATTACGGAACTCATGAAAGTGTGCGTGGTCATTTCCTGGGGGCCGCCATAACAAAATACCACCAACTGAGTAACTTAATACAACAGAACTGCAGTTCTGGAGAGGAGAAGTCTAAAATCAATATGTCGACAGGCCCATGCTCTCTCTAAAGCCTTAGGTCAGTATCCTAACTTACCCCTTCTAGCTTTTGTTGCCCAAGTATCCGTTGGTTTGTGGCAGCATAGTTCCAACATCTGC